AGAATTGGTCAATTTCAGCCTCTTCAGCATCGGTGGTTGGTGCATAAACTTGGATTACTGTGATGTTGAAAGGTCTGCCTTGGATTCGTATTGAAATCATTCTATCATTTTTGAGATTATATCCCATTACAGCTTTCCCCACTCTTTTGTTGACTATGAGGGCTACTCCATTCCTTCTACGGAATTCTTGCCCACAATAGTAGATACGATAAGCATCTGAATTGAATTCGCCCATTCCTGTCCATTTTAGTTCACTGACGCCCAGGATGTCAATGTTTATTCTTGCTATGTCCTGTTCGACCACATCCAGCTTACCAAGGTTCATAAATCTTACATTCCAGGTTCCTATGCAGCATTTTTCTTTGCAGCATCAGACTTTCCTTTCACTTCCAGGCATGTCCACAACTGAGCGTCCTTTCGGCTTTGGCCCAACCACTTCATTAGCTCTGGAGCTACTTGTACTTGTCCTCCGCTCTTCCTCAGTAGCATGTTGGATGCCTTCTGACCTGAGGGTCCCATCTTCCAGCGTCATATCTTTTAGCCTTTTGTTTTGTTCATGGGGTTTTCTTGGCAAAGATACTGGAGTGGCTTGCCAATTCCTGCTCCAGGTGGATCGTGTTTAGTCAGAACTCTCCATATGACCTGTCCAGCTTGGGTGTCCCTGCATGGCATAACCCATAGCTTCTCTGAATTACTCAAGCTCCTTCACCACGACAAGGCAGCAATTCGTGAAGGGGGACCAGTATACAGTAGTATACAGGGAAAAATACAACAAGGATTTCAGAAATAATAAGTGTTTTTTGTTGTTTTTGTTGTTGTTTTTTGTCATGTGACACAAACTTAAGTTTAGGAACACAGGCCCTCTCTTTTGCCTGGCTGTTGGGTACTCCAATAAGGAATCAGTACAGTCTGAAGTATCTGTAATTTTTCTGCTATAATGACTGAAAATGCAGGAGACAGAACTGATCTAGGTAGAGAGCCTTGTTCAATAAAAAAGTTCTTTTAATACAACTTCTCAAATGCGCTGGAATGGAGTAGTCATGGCAGTGGACTCTGTTCATGGTAGAATTCTTTAAGCGGTAATTCAATGAGTATATTTTAATACTGGTGGCTGATAGTCACTTCCTCTGATGAATGTAATAATAGTTCTTACGACAGTGGTAGTTGCCACTCAATTAAATGCCCATTAAATGCAGGCAGAGATAAAGGCGAACAGTGAATTAGAACAGATGTTTCTGCCTTGACTTTGGCTAGCACTTATTAGTCCAGGAACTTGTAACTAGGAAGGTTTGCTGTCACGGAGAGAGAGTTTTCTTAAACTTTATGTGTATCCTGGAAACTAAAGAAGCCACAACAGTACCAATTTACCAACTTTTATTTAAATGTTTAATTGGTTACAGTTTAATTGGTGACCTTTTCAGTAAATAGCTCTTATGCTAGCAATTGAAAATCAGGCTACAAAGCTACAGGTGAACAGTTAAGAAATGTAACCATCCAAAATAAGTAATCCTTGACAACAGATGGTACAATGAAGAATTAGTTTTGTTAATATATAAATATTTGGTTACAGAATGATAGGGTTTGATTGGGGTTATTTATTTGCTAATATTAATATAATTTGTTCTGGTACTTCTGTGGCTCAGGGACTAGTTTGGACTAATTTTTAAAGAATTATGCAAGATCAGTGGGAAAAATATGGAAGTATCCTGTAGTTATGGAACTACAGTCCCCTATGACTAATATTTTTGTGATTAAAGCCTTGATGGATTTCTGCAGCTCTATAGGCATAATGGGATACCCAATGTAGTGTAGTGGTTAGTGTGAGGGACTAGGTCTCTGGAGACCAGGTTTTGAATGTCCACTCAGCCATGGAAAGTCACAGGGGGAGTGGAACTGGTAAAACCACTCCTTAAATAACTCACCTTGAAAGCCCTATTAGGGTTGCTATAAATTGGTTTTGACCTGATGGCACATAACAACAACATAGGAATAATGAGGATAGGATGCATCCTTTAAGATGGTGAATGAGAAACAAGGTAGAAAGGTGGCCATTTTCCTTTTGGCTAAAATATTACCACAGCACACGGAAAGACCTCTCAACTAAAAGAATTGAAACATGACTTTATATCTGAGCTGTCTGTCTTTGAAATAATTTCGAGTACTCACGATCAGATACAGTGGTGCCTCGCTTAACAAGTGCACCGTTTAACGACGAATCTGCATAGCGATGCATTTTTTGCGATTGCTAATGCGATCGCATTGCGTTGTTTAGATAGGCTAAACATCGCATTGCGATGATCGGTAAGCGTTTCACTTACCGATATTTGCATTGCGATGTTTAGAAAACAGCTGATCGGTGGTTCCAAAATGGCCACCGGGTGCAGAAAATGGCTGCCCGCAGCGTTTTCGCGCCCTGCCCTCACTTACCGGGCAGCGAAAATGGCGGCCGGATGAGGAAATCTTCGCTTACCAGTGAGTTTTCCCCAATAGGAACACATTAAACGGAGTTTAATGCGTTCCTATGGGTCCCCCCCGCATAGCGACAAATCCGGATAGTGACGTTAATCCTGGAATGGATTAACGTCGCTATGCGGGGCACTATTTTCAAGTATTCTGCATTAATGTGCAGTATATATAGCTTTAGATCTTACTTCCTTTATATTTGTGGGTTGTTTTCCTTCATTTTCTTATGGTGTTTTATAGGATCTTTGTACATTCTTTACAAGCCACCAGACATTCCAGGCTCTACAGTATTTTCAAATTTATTTCAGTTCTCTCTTACATTGTATGTATTCTACCCGAGTTCTTGAAAAATGACATTAGAATTACTGTTCATATTCTAGGCTGTTACTGTTCATTCTCAGAGCCAGTCTTGCAATTAAAGATGGTATGGCAGAAGTCAGGAATGGCTCCAGAGGGCATGGGGGAGGCATGCACCTTTTCAACCCTCCACTGATGACGACCTGCTGGGCACTCCAGCCCTACCTTGATCCTGAAGAGGTTCTGGCAGAGGAAGCAGCAAGCAGAGGCAGGATGAACTTAGGGGACACAGGCACTTGCAGTGGCCCAGCATTACTGGCCCTCCTTGAAGGGTGACAACTGGTTGGGGTCAGTGTGGAAAACTAGGCCCCACCCTTGGACTAGAGACTATGTCAGCCAAGGGCCTGAAACTTGGGCCATGTTGAGAACTGCAAGCATCCAGGGGTGGGCGTGCTAGTTAACTCAGCCCCCCTGCAAATTGACAGGATGGGGAAATTTTAAGCCCAACCATCCTTTGCTATAGGGTTGTCGTAAATCCAGAAAACCTGGAGTCCCTTTATTGGAGGAAATATGGGGTATAAATGAATGAATGAAAAACTGCTAGAACTAGGACTACGCTCTACCTATCCAATCTCTGGTGAAAGTCTAGATGAGAAAAGTGGGCTCAAACCCACATCCTGTTCAAATGCCTAGCCCAAATGTGTCCATATGAGAGACATTTTTGCAGTCCTATACCTATTCTATTTTGCCGTGCTCCATCTCCGTGCATTTCTGTTACTCGCAACACATGCTATTTATCTGTACTACATCCAGGGAAAAAACTGCTTGTACGTTAGCATGACACCATAACTTTGTGCCAGAATGATATTCTGGCGAAGTTTACAAGTTGACTTTATGTTGAAAAATACAGTAATCAGTGACAAGAGTTGTTTACATTTTTTAACTGGCCGTATTTAACTATTGAAAATAATTTTTAATCAAATTGTTAAAATTTATTTATTTATTTATTCATAATTAATTTTTAATGGCTAAATAAGGTTAATTACAAAGCAATTAATGAATTGATTTCATAAAATTAATTTTCTTAATGCTTTTAATGTTGCCAAATTAAAATTCATTAGCAATTTAATGACCTGCTTCACAAGTCTGTTATGAGGATAAAAACTGAAAGAAATTTGCAAACTATTGTAATTTCCTTAGAAAAAAGGTGGCATGGCTAAGAAATCCAGGATATGTGACAAACAACCAAATAAACATTGAACAGTTTATAGTGTTATCATGTTAGCATTAAAATTAACATTCTTGAGCCCTGCTTTAGCCGCACACTCTGTATTTAACATATTGTAACATTCACCTGTCAGTTGTGTGGGAGGTCAATGTACAGAAAGTTCCTTTACAAGCTCTCAACAGAAAATATACTATGGTTTATCCTCTCACATATCAAGAGCTGAACTGTAGTTCTGAATCTAGCACCAAGGATTAAGACTTGATGAGTCTGGATTCAAATTCAGGCCTGTTTAGTGAAATCTACGAGATTAGTACAAATGGGGAAATGGTTTAATGTTTCTACAGTATTTCCTTTCGTACTTTTCCTTCCAAGCTATTTACCTAAAGCAACATAATTAAAATAAAAGATTGATTTTAGATAACCCCTCAAACACTTTCCTTTTGATATCTTTCTATATGATCCCTTTGTGTAATGTCACATTCTGCTGTGCTGCTATTGATTCACAGCATCATTGTGTAATGTTATGATTCTGCAAAAGTGGCAGGATCACTGTCACAAGGTGAGCAATATTTCAGCTATAAGAGGTGCTAGTTACTTAATCATCAGCAGGACAGTAAACTTTGTCATCCAAGGTTTATCATTTTCAGAAAAAGCATGAATTTAATTTTTACAGGAAAAGGTGTTCGTCACAAGTGTGATGCTCAGCTCAGTTCTGCTCTATTGTTAATGTGGTTCCAGAGGAACTATAAAAGAAGGTGGGGTGGATGCTTACTGCCATTGCAGCAGGAGTTTCACTAGAATTATACTAGCAACCAGGAATACTCCAGTTGTTCACCTTTACTATATTCCAGTAGAAAGACAAATAGTAAGTATTTTTCATTTGAGTACAATACCTACTAGTTAAATCTAAAAAATATTATTTCAACTAGTATTTAATTAAAATATTTCCCTACTGTAGGTAAATATGAAAGGATATGGCATATTGCAAAGAATTTGTGACTACACTGTATGAGTGTATTATATCTTTCAGTGTATAACTTAAGTGTATTTGTGAAAAACCAGTTGTAATTCAAATTGCCATATTTACTTCCATTTCCAAAAGCATGCCATCTCATACTTTATGCCATCGGTTTCAAACTGTATTTTAATGTAAGTGAATATGGCACAAATATAATTGTGAAAGAAATACCTGGAATGCTTTCTTAAAATGATTTTTTCTCTTCTTTCACATCATTGTATATATATCGTCTTTGAAAATATAAATAAAAGTTATGATGGAATAGGACTTTCACACATTTATATATAGCACCTTCCAGGACGTATCATACTTTTTTTGTTTTCAGCAGTCAACATTAAGGAGCAAGGATTAATATTTTAAGTTATATGTTAGCTTAATCTCCCAGCATTATTTAATTTTACTTACTTCAATGTAACTAGAATATGATATAGCTTTATTTCAGCACCTATCATTATGTCTTTTTGAATAGTCTGCAAAACAGAAGATGCTTTTGACCCAAGGATGTCTACAATCAGTGAAAGTTTTGTCCATTTTTCTTCTTGCTTGTTTTGCAGCTTGTCAAGAAACTGAAAAGTAAGTCTTATTTTCACATGTTAACAAGCATTATTTGAAAAGGATGGGGCTTGTACAGTTATGCCTTGTTTTTCAGATGCAGAATTTACTGATAAAATGACTACTTGCAGAAATATATTAGCAGCTGTATCTCATTCAACTGCCCATCAATTTAGCTTTTTCATACATTAGGTAAAAAATAAAGTGATTTCTGGTTGTTGTGGGTTTTTCGGGCTTCTTGGCCGTGTTCTGAAGGTGGTTCTTCCTAACGTTTCGCCAGTCTCTGTGGTGCCGTCCACAGAGACTGGCGAAACGTTAGGAAGAACCACCTTCAGAACACGGCCAAGAAGCCCGAAAAACCCACAACAACCATTAGATCCCAGCCGTGAAAGCCTTCGCGAATACAAAGTGATTTCTCTCTCATGATTTATTGGGCATTTATTGGGCAAAATCCTGTTGCATAACATCATGCCAGCATAACCTGGTTGCCAGAAACATGTAATTTAAATTAATGGAAAGATTCCTATCTTTCCCCTTCGAGTTCTGAAGCTCCCTAGAGCTCCCTTTTGCCCTGGGGAAACCTTTGGGAGCATCAGGTTTGTGGGACGGAGACTGCTTTGGTCACCTTGGTAGACAACCTGTGCAAGGAACTGGACAGGTAGAGTGTGTCCCTGTTGGTTCTGCTGTACCTTTCAGTGGCTTTCGATACCATCAGCCACGATGTTCTTCTGACCCATCCATCTGGGATGGGACGTGAATGCAACACGATGCCTCTGGTCCTTCTTCTAGGAGAGAACAAAGGTGGTGGTGTTGGGGGACTCCCCTGGGCACTGGCCTGTGGTGTCTCTCTGGGTTCTGTTTTGTCCCATATGCTATTTAACACCTACATGAAAGCACTGGGACAGGTTGTCAAGAGTTTTGGGTTTCAGTGTCCCTAGTATGCAGATGAGACTGAACTATATCTCTCTTCACCATCTAAATCCGAGGAAGTTGTTCTGGCTCTAGAGCAGTGCCTGGTATCAGTAATGGGCTGGATTAGGGTGAATAAACTGAAACATAAACTAAACAAGACAGAGGTGCTCCTGGTCAGTCAAAAGGCAGATCAAGGAAGAAGGATGCACCTTGTGCCAGGCGGAGTTGCACTCCCTTTGAAAACACAGGTGCACAGTTTGAGGGTGCTCCTGGATTCATCTCTGAGCCTGGATGCCCAGGTTTTGGCCACGGCCAGGAGTGCATTTGCACCATTAAAACTAGTGTGCCAGCTGCACCTATTTCTGCAGAGGTCCAATCTGGCCACAGCGACACATGCCTTATTTACAGTATATCCCAGCTGGATTACTGTAAGAGGCTCTACATGGGGCTGCCTCTGGAAAGTGTCTTGATGTTGCATTTGCTTACCATCTTTTAGTGTTATATTTGTTTAATCCTTTTTAGCATTTATGAATAAATAAAATATTAGTTTAAAAATGCTGTCAGTGGAAATATATATTGGGAAAATGGCTGACGGAGGGAGCCTTGGGAAAAAAATGGTGTTAGCAAGACATACTAAAATAAGAAATATCTTTGCAACTGCATGAAGGGGGACACATTAAATGAAGTGTCCTATAGATGTTTGCCTGGATGTGTTCTCCTGAACTGAAGACTATATTCCAGAGTAAGAGCATGCAGAGCTCTAGCCTCACAATGTAATCTTGTATATATCTATGCAAAGTGCATTCCACTAAATTCTATGGAAAATCCTCTTAGGTAACTGTGTACAAGGTTGTAAAATTAAATTGAAAAATGTGCAATTGACTTGTAGGATTACATTCCAATTAAATAGAGAAGAAGGTCTAGTGGACACTGAATGGGATGGCAGTGACATACTGTATTCTTATTAGATTATTTGGGGTATGTCATTTTTATATTGATTAACTGAGTTCTAGGGAAAAAATACTGCATGTGCCAGCCCTTCTAGGGATCCAGTTCAGATCCAAAGAATAGTTGGCTAGTATTTTATAGCAGACAGTCACGTAAGTCAGAAGGAACTTGATGGCACTTAACAACATCCTAAGAAAAAGTCTCTGGTGTACTGAGAATACAGGCTTTGCTGAACAGTGACTATATTTCTGCTCCTCAATAGTATTGGCTTTCTGTGTTTCAGTAAAAGAGCAGTGACAGAACACCAGCTCCTGAATGACCGAGGGAGGGCCCTTCAAGGATTAAAGCGACTGATGTGGCTTCACAATGCCATGACGGGAGTGCACACAGCCACTGACAGAGGGCGCATATCCCGGGCCCATATTATGTGGACCTCACCCAACAGCCAAGACCTTTCTGAATTCTATGATAGCATGGATAGGGAAGAGACACCAGACATGATGAAACAACTTTTACTGGAACAGCTGGAGAAGGAGTCGCCATTCGCTGTGCTAAGGAAAATAAATGTATTGCAATATCTAAAGAATGTAAAAGGTAGGCAGGACATGAAAGATCTTTCTGATTTATTTCATGTTGGAGACCAAGATAGCAAAAGAGCTCTTAGTGCTGAAATATAGACACAACAGGACTTAGTGCAGTGTGTCCCATTACAATGTGCACTGATGTCTTGTGGAGGAGCAAAAATTAAAGTGAATTATAAAGACATTATTATTTGTGCCATTTAGTATTCATGAATGTTAAGAGACCAATATTCTCATCCACATTCTGATGAACTAAAACAAGTAAACAAGGATAACCCTGGTTCTACATTTTCCCTTCTGGAGAACACAAATATTCTATAATGTTGAGCACTCCCAAGTACACTGTAATTTTTATTAGTTACCACACTCATTGATTCATGTCTTCTGAGTCTCAGACTATCAGATTCAGAGATCTGTAAATCCTGCTGGGGCAAGTGGAAAAGAAGGAAAAACCCCCATCTGCTCATTTCCTGTTTTCCCCTTACAACGTAATTGTATGAATTCCATTATGCTCATTTTCACTATCTCATAAAATATGTGGCTAAACAGGAAAGTAAGTATGCTAGTAGACTGTTATTCAGTTTCCACGTGAAAACATGTACTTCTTGAGCATTCACAGTCCTTTTTGCATGCTTATGTAGTCTTTGTAGTAGACACACATCACTTTAAGACTAAAGGTAGAATACAATACAAGAACAGAAACAGATGTTGCAAATAATTTGTAATTAGAAGTAAAAACATGTTAGCATTGGAAGATCAAGGCTCAGTAATTAAGGAATTACCCTTTCAAATGACAGTATAATATCAGTTTCTGCTGTTATAATGTTATACTGTATGCTTACTCAGAAGTAGGGTCTAGTGCAACTTCCCAGGTGTAAACACCCTTGTGGGCATCACTGGCATCATCCTAACTTTCCTTGGACAGCTGTTAAGGGGGATTAAGACTGCTCTGCCCATGGTAAAGTCAAATCAACATATTCTAGCTTAAGAAAGACATGGAATGAAAAGCAATCAATGCAAGCCATTGATCATATGTTTGAATGAACACATGAAAGACTATACAGAGATAGTATGATCCACATGGTGGAAAGCACAAAGGGTTATCAGAAGTGTTTATGAAACTATGTAGTTAAGAATTCATGAAGTGAAAGATGTCTCTTATTGGCTATAATATTGGGAACCATGGATCTAGTGTGGAACGGCAGGATGGGGATGCAGACTATTTAATTAAAACCTGAAAACAGTGAGAACATTTGTTATCTGTTGAATTTAGACTACTAATTTAGGTTCTACACAAGCACTGATACCATTATAAGTTGCAGTCAACTCTTTGCCACTTGTCTAAATATAAACCAGCAGTATATTTTCTTGAAATCCAAAAGCGAAGGGGTGGGGGCAGTACAAATCTTAGCAGGACAGCACCGACTGCACAGATAGTTAACTGAAAATCAGGAACAGTGCTATACTAATCTTAACTACATATGCTGAGATAACCACTACAAAAATATCTGCAGTGGTTCAGATCATGTAGCTCTTCTATCCAGAGAAAAATTACAGGAGACTGCATGGTTTGCTTACAGTTGGTGCCTGGGTATCAGCTTGTAAAGCCACTGCACAGGTTTGTGTTTTGGGGAACATTTCCTGAGTGGTCTTATGAGCTGACCTGGAGTAATATTTTTTCCTTTTTTCCTTTTTTTTGCTTTCCCCCCTCTTTTTATGTTAAATATTTTTGTATTTTTCCTATTCACTGTCTGAAAGCTATCCAGATGGATGGCTCTAGTATTAATGTTCCTTTTTATTATGGGTAAAGACAGTGGATTCCTTTCTCAGTTCTCAATATATTTCAAACAAATTACAGACCTAAACTGGTTCAGGAAAATCATACAGACCCTGAGTCATATCATCCTTAATATGGTTACTAGTGAATAAATCCCCTTAAACACAGTCAGGATATCATGTATAAGGTACTAACAATGTTTTAATTTAATAATGGAAAATATACAAAGCCATCGTCACACATTTCAAAAGAGTAATAAAGAGTACAAACATAGTTTATTTGCCACTAATATGTAAGAATAATATGTTTCATGTGTCCAGATAAACTGACATTATAAATGCTATATACACAAACACACATATCCTACGTAGAAATGTAGTACTGCTATATATATTTTAAGACAGTATAAGAAATATCAGTGTACCTACAAATGTAACACTTATGTTAAAATAATCTTCTGAGAATGATTACATGAAAATAGATGTGTATTACTGCTCTCATGCAATGGTTTATTTTAAGCAAGTTCGGTGTTCTCAGTGTCATGGAATATATAGACTTGCATTTTTCGCATGGAATGTACCAAAATGTTATATTTCATTTATCACAGACGTTTAAATAAAAATAAAGCAAGATTACATTTTGTTAATAGATACATATGTGAAGTGAAGTCAACGTCACTATGGAAATGTGCTTGAAAGGAGACAACACTGTGTGCCTTGATAACAAGGACAAAATAAATGGCTTCCACTGATATGTATGATTTTGTTGCCCTTTTAGCTCCATGGCAATGATTTACTGTAGTTGTATTTAGAATAGAGGTGTGCAGATTTGTATTGTTTGACTAAAACTCCCAGAATTCGCTAGAAGGCAAAGGAATTCTGGGAGTGGCAATCCAAAAACAAATCTGCACACCTCTAACTTAGAAGCAAAATTGGATTCTTCATCCAAATGACTTCTTGTTTAAATCAAGAGTACTAGAAGCTGTATAGCACCACACAGAAAGAAGCAAAGAACAGATGAAATCCTCTTATTGAGTAACTTAAAACATCAATACTAATTGCTTTAAAATAATTTACTATATACCTTGTATGTCTAGTCTAATAGTTATTTGAAAAGTAAGTGCTTCAATGAACAAAATTTAACATTTAAATTTTTGAATTGATTTTACTATAAGATACTGTAGGATTACTGTATCTGCTGGGGATTGGTTCCAAGCCCTTCCCTGTGGATGCTGAAAAACGTGGAAGTATTGAATGCTACACATTGTGTGGTGGTCGTTGGATCCCCTAGTGGCCAGTTCCGATAAATACAGTACACCCTAGAAATACGTACTGTATAAATATGTATTTCTTGGTGTTTTTTACTTAATATTTTCAGGCAGTGGATAAGTGAACCAGTGGATACTGATCCCGCGGATGGGGAGATCCTCTATGTTTGGCTCTACGTTTAGCATACACAGAGGTTACCACTATATTTGTGAGAACTAGCCATCTAGAATCAAAATTTGACAGGACAAGTGGATACCGATCCCGCGGATGGGGAGATCCTATGATATGTTTGGCTCTATGTTTAGCATACACATAGGTTACCACTATATTTGTGAGAACCAGCCATCTAGAATCAAAATTTGACAGGACAGTTTAGTCACTATTGACTGTAGTGTCTAGATCTATCTGCAGAACCATAAGCTGCCCACAGCCAGTTTAGTGCTTGTCTTCTTCAAATCACACAAGAATATGACATCAGGCCTGCTAATCAAGACCAGTAACATTATCAAATCATATGTTAATTCTTCCATTATCCAAATAATAACCATCCAAAGAAGACTTTTCTCATGGAAGGAGACTCATTATAGCAAAGAGAATTACTTTCCTTCCTTCTCCTGGAGATGCCATCTTGTTTCAATGAACTGCATAACTGAACTCATTGGGTGCACAGCTTAATGTGATGCAGGGGTTTGACCATGTCAGAGAAACTGAGAGCAATGCCATCAGGAGGCCAGACTCCATAGGAATCTGGATCTTAGCAGGGTCATCCAAAGTAGCATAGTCACAGCTGGGATACCAGACTAAGATGCATCCACCCTCCTCAGAAATTACAGTCCCATCAGGCAGAAGGGAATTGATTGTTGCAATGATGATGGAGTCAGAAAGATAAAGGGCAGCTATTGGCCAACAACAGTGGAAGGTGACAATGGCAGAGGATCTTTTCAGATAACTAATGACAACCAGCTTTTGTTAGTACTGCCTAGAAGAAGTAGTAAATGACTTTTAAACATTTCTTATCTTGAAAAGTCTTATGATGAGCCGATCCAAAAAGATACCAGAGCTAGTGCTGGCAAATGAGACTCCCAGGTCAGAAACCACTTAATCAGCTCTTGGGAAAGAACAAAAGACAAGGAGAAATAGCATTGCTGCTAATGAGGCAACTAGATCAAAGACAAAAGGAAAGTTAATGACTCATGTGCACTGATAAAAAAAAAGAAAGACAAATACTGTACAACACATACAAGTAGAAAATGTAATGTGAGAAGAATAAATCAAGGTAAACGTGAAACTAAATAAAACAGAACATTTAAACATTAAAGTATTTGGGGTGATCAAACTAAATTGGATTGGAAAAGACCATTTTTTCAGTCATATAATTACAAAGTGCTTTATTCTGCCAATGACAAGATCAGAAGGAATTGTGACTTCTAATACTAAGGCAAGATTTAGCACAAGCAGTGAGGGGGTGTAATGCAAGCTCGTACTAAATAATACCAGATTTCTTAGGAAAACTGTATGATGCTGAAACAGAAGAAATTGAAAGCTTTTGTGACAGTGTCCAGGAAGAAATTGATCACACAAACCAAAGGATGATATATTGAATCTCACGTGATTAGAATACTAACAAATAAAGAAAACAAAACAATGGCTTGCAGACAGGGAAATATTCAATAAGCATACCAATTCCCAAGAAAGGAGATGCCTAAGGGTATCGTAAATATAGGACCATTGCATTAATTTGCCATGTAAGCAGTTTTTGCAGCAATTTTTTTTACTGTGCACAGAACAAGAAATGCCCAGTATTTAAAATGGATTCAGAAAACAAAGATGTACTAGAGATCAATATTATGAGCATTATTATTTATATGCCACATTTCTCCCAACAAGGAACCCATAGCAGCTCATAGAGATCATTGCGCATATGTGGCAGCTACTGATCCCCAGAGGGGATGGAAGAAAAGAGGAGAGATAAGAAGAGGAGGGGGGAAAAGAAAAAGGGGATCAGCTGTTGGTGTGGAAAGCCTCTCTGAAAAGCAATAAGAAGAGGAGGGGGAAAAAGAAAAAGGGGAAGGGGATCAGCGGTTGGTGTGGAAAGCCTCTCTGAAAAGCACGTCTTTAATTGTTTCCTAAATGTCCATAGGGAGGGGTCCTCTAAAAGTTGGTTCCATAAAGCTGGAGCTACCGCTAAGAAGGCCCTACCTCTTGTAGAGGATTTATGGGCCTCCCTCCACCCGAGGAGCCTCAGCTGGGATGATCTTGTGAGTGGAGCAGATGACCTTAAGGAAAACAGCTTTAAACTCTCTCACACACACAACCCGCCCGCCCAGGCACAGTCACTCAATTAATCTAAACATGTGTTTTTGGAGGTGTGCAGCTTCTGAAGAATTAAAAAAAACAAATTTAGTCTCAAAGGTGCTACAAGGACTTGTGATTTCTCTTAGTGTTGCACCGTCTCAACGAATTAACTGAAGCGGACATGTCAGTAAAGACTTACAGGTCAGCCTCCTATTCTAAACAACCACGCAACGAGACTCTTAAAAACAGTAAATATAAATAAAGCTTCAGATTCAGCCCCATTGAACTCAAGAGTAAACTGAAATCTAGCGTCCTGCACTCCCGGAGAGAGGAACGAGCGCTCTATAACTAAAGAAATACACGCTTCCGTGCAATTCTGCGCGGGATCGGGCTACCCTCCCCGCCTTGGGTAGAAAACGACTTTTTCTCAACTTCCTTGTAGGCAGATGAGCCGCCCAGAAAAGAACACGGCGCTCTCGCCGACTCCTAAAAGCGCATGAACCACTTACGCATGCGCAGTGCTTGAGGCTCGGCAAAAGAAAGCAGCCTCTCTCCTGCTGCTCCAAAGAAGCGAGGCAGCTTCGCCTCCACTGGGAAGGCGGAGCTGGAGGCGGGGAGGGCTCTTGCGCATGCGGGCTGGGCCAGGCTTTCTAGTAGGCGCTTGTCCCGTCAGAGGCTCCGGGTTTTCGGGGGGTTTGTTTTGTTTTTTGATGAAGGGAATGAGGGGGAGGAAGGACAGACCTAAGGTAGGCCTCTGGAAACTGCTCCTCGCTCGTGCTCGGGCCCCGGGAAGTAATTAAGCAGCGAGTTTTTGGTGTTTTGCTCACTGGTTACCCCCTTCCTGAGGTGAAAAGGGGGGCCCTGGTAAGTTATTCTTGTCCCCCCCCCAGACTCTCCCTCCACGTTTCCTGTCGCTTTCTCCCTCTCTCAAGCTGAAAGCTATCCCTCTATTTCCATCGTCGTTTTCCCCCCCTCGCCCCACAGCCGGCCCGCCGGCTTCACTCCTTCCCGGCCGCCCCTCGCCACATGCCACGCTTCCCTGCCCGAGGCAGGAGCTCCTGTCCCGGCCATTCAGTCGCACAAAGCCTTCAGGTGCTCCCGAGCCCCCTCCCCTTTCCCCCCTTTCATTTTCTCATCACCCCCATTCCATTGCCCCTTAGTTTTTAATGTGACTGGCACCTTCTGGCCTCTTGTTTTCTTTCTCTTCATAACTTTTTGTGTGGAAAATGGACCACATTATGCGATAAAGTCATTAATGCTTTTTCTGCAGGAAGCCCTAGTGCCTTTGTGAGAGTTGCTGCCAAGTTAATGTGCATTGGATCACAGCCCTGATTGCTAAGGGGTGTGTGTGTTTAATGTCCTCCAGTCTCCAAAAGAAGGAATTTTGTCTTGAGTTTTTTTACAGGGTGATTTGGTTTTTTAGTATAATTTTATTTTGACAGCTACCTCTACTAAAAAGGAAAGGTGATTGGTTTTGTGCCTTAGAGGAAAATGTGATCTGATGTAAATTATTTCAAAGAAGGGTGCAGTTGTATTTATGAGGCCATATGAACATAGGATGCCTTTTACATAGAACTGTTTAAAAATGTCTAACTTTCATTGGGTTCATTTGAAGAAAAATTCCAATTAAATGGGGCAAACCCTTAAAAGCAACTACACATAAATGTGTTTTAGGCTGACTAGTTGCATTATGTTAGAAGCAGCATGATAAGAGACTCAGGGATTTTATTTCTGCTGTTAGTCAAGTTACTGTAATTGTTAGGCAGCAATTCTATGTGAGCGTTATTAATTTTATTTATGTATTTATTTTATTTATACCCCACCTATCTGGTCACTGCGACCACATTTTGGCTTAATTCTAAGTGACCCAGAGGGTTGAGTTGTAAAGCTGTCAGTAATGAAAGAAAGTTCCATTAATATCAGAACTTTTAACATGCTTTAAAGTATGTTACCTGGAAATGCAATTGTTTAAACCACGTTGGCAGTATTTTAAAAGACTTACATTGGAAATATATGGGAGGTAATGTATATCTTATAACCTGTAGATGTGAATTGGAGGTGTACTACTCACCACATTCATTTCCTCCTTTTCATAACATATGTACAAAAACAGGAAGTTTGACTTGTACAATTATTTTGTAACATTATGGTCTGCTACTGCATTAGGAGCTTCCACTTTGGACCACTCTATGCAAAACTGTGTTTGTTTAACTTTTAATGATGTCGCTTAGAATTTTGTTCAGGGGTGAAATGATAAAATATTTTATTTTAATTTTACCTAGCCTTACCAGAAACTATGGCAATGACTGGTCCAGCACCTTGCTCATCTATGAGCAACCATACCAAGGAGCGAGTTACAATGACAAAAGTGACATTGGAAAACTTTTACAGTAATCTGATTGCACAGCATGAAGAACGGGAGATGAGGTAAAATTCCAAGAATCGTGAATATGGAGACAGTGCTGTTTTCTTAGTCTCAAATTTTCTTAGTCTCAACTGGAATGCCCTGCTTGTATTGAACTTGTCTTATCCTGGTAGACATTTCAGTCTGTAAAGCTGTGAAACTTTTCAGTCTGTAAATTCACTTGAATCACCTTGTTATAATGCTGTAATATTTCTTGGTTACTTTTTTCTGATGGTACATTTTAATAAAGGCATCATGCAGCAATTGATTGATGAAAATTAATAGAACCATTTTTCTTGAATAAAGCTTATTTTTCTGTCTAGTTTGACATTTTCCTTTTATTTCACTGTGTCCATTGTAAACACCAGCATGCATTGCAAAGCACACTTACATCTGTTGAGAATGATATTCAAAAATCAGCTCCACCAAAAATGTCTTAAGGATTGCACTGTTTTATATCTGTGCTCATGAAGTGTTCTGTTGAAGAGGGCATGCTTGGCTTTTTTACATTCAATTTTTAAAAGTCCAGGTAGTTAGGAGTTCTCCAGTGTGAAGTGCAGGTCTGCAGTTGTGTGCCATCTTTACTGTCCTGGAGGCAGTCGGACACCATATGGAGATAGTGGGAAAATCATGGCCATGATTAGATAGAGAAAGTCAGGTGCCTAAAATTGTGATGATTGTAAAGGACTGAAAATAGTAGTGAGGAGAAGTAAAAACCATGTAACAAGTCCGTGGAAAACAAGGGAAGGAGTGAGTGAGTGTGTACTCCTGAAAAGGGGAAATGAGTGACTTAGAACTTCTTGCTGAGCATGTTGAGCAAGTATATCCTCCATGCCCGTGGTTCTTAACCTTTGTTACTCGGATGTTTTTGAACTGCAACTCCCAGAAACCCCGGCCAGCACAGTTGGTGGTGAAGGCTTCTGGGAGTTGCAGTCCAAAACTCCTGAGTAACCCAAGGTTAAGAACCAGTGCTCCATGCTATGGATGGAGATAAAAGTTCTACAGTACAGTGGTGCCTCGCTTAACGATGTTAATTGGTTCCATAAAAAAATCGTTATGTGAAAACATTGTTAAGTGAAACACCATTTCCCATAGGAATGCATTGAAAACCGGTTAATCCGTTCCA